TTTTTGTCAGTAACCCCTTGCTCCTGTGACTTGCAAGCGCACTCTTCTGCTTGTTGAGGTTTGGCTCCTGGCATCTTTCAGTTCCCGGAACCTTCGCGGGAACCTCAGAGGACGATGCACTAATTTCCGAAAAGGTAGGGTTGAGGGCTTAGGGTCGAAAGGTCCTAGCCCGAACCCCCAAGCCACAACCCCCCTAAATCCTCCCCCCCCCCCACATCATGGAAGTCCCAGGTGAGCCCCTCAAAGCCCTTGAAGCCCTCAAATCCCTCACGCCTGAAGCCCAAATCCAGTCACCCTCATAGGGATACGTCGTACTTCATTCTGTTTCCGTAGCCTAGCTTATAGTGACGCAAACGCCAGCCCTAAACCCTAAACCCTAAACCCTCAACCCTAAACCCTAAACCCTAAACCCTAAACCCTCTCAAGGCCACTGCCCACACGCTGAAGCGCGGGCAAATGCCTGCGCCTCTGCGACCGGCCCTGGGGCGCTTACGGCCTTGGGGTTTGGGTACGGCTGCGCCTCTAAGGATGGCCCTGTTTAGGGTTTAGGGTTTAGGGTTTAGGGTTTAGGGTTTAGGGTTTAGGGTTTAGGGTTTAGGGTTTAGGGCTTCGATCTTGTGCTTCCTGGGATAGCTCCCTCTCTCTCTCTGTGAAAGGGGATGCCGTAGCTTGGCAGCGCAAGGCACCAAGCCACAGAGGGCCAGTCTTGTGCAGAAGCCGGATGGGTAACCTTAAGTCCTAAGCCCTAAACCCTAAACCCTAAACCCTAAACCCCTATAACCCGAATGGTTTGCAGTCTCGGGAATGCTTCGGGGTTCAGAGAAAGATGCCAACGGGGATGCCATGTTTCTTGAAGTCCAAAACGTTCAGGGCTTAAGGGGCTTTCGGATGTTTTTAGGTTGCGTAGAGTGTTTACGGAGTTTAGGGCTGGAGTGTGTTGCATCCAACCTTAGGGGCCAAACGAACCTTACCCCAATCGGGAAAGTAGGGTTAGAAGTACCTTCATTAAGGCTATAGTATAGGTTACTTCTACTTGTAACCCGACTTAAAACTACCCATGAAGCTTCAAGCAGGGGTCAGGGCTAAGGGCTCAGGGAGTTTAGGGTTTCGGGATCCCTTGATGGGGACTGAGGGTTCTAGAAAATCCCTAAACCCTAAACCCTAAACCCTAAACCCTAAACCCTAAACCCTAAACCCTAAACCCTAAACCCTAAACCCTAAACCCTAAACCCTAAACCCTAAACCCTAAACCCTAAACCCTAAACCCTAAACCCTAAACCCTAAACCCTAAACCCTAAACCCTAAACCCTAAACCCTAAACCCTAAACCCTAAACCCTAAACCCTAAACCCTAAACCCTAAACCCTAAACCCTAAACCCTAAACCCTAAACCCTAAACCCTACCGGGTGTGGGGGGTCAACCCTCAGCCCTAAACTGGGGTAGGAGCCGGGGTGCGAGGATTGAAAGCTCAAGGTGTGTTTTTGGTATCTTGGGCTTCGGTTTTACGCCTAGACCCGTGCATCTCATAAACTTCAACGTCCTGAAGCTCAGACTTCAACTCGAAACCCTGAAACCCTAAACCCTAAATCCCTTCCTTGGGGACCACATGACCCTAACGTTGGGGCTTATATACCCTCTACTACGAAAATCCCTCTGAGCTATAAAGTAACCTATACTCAAGTTGAGTGACGGTACCTATGACCGTACTTATCCCCTGCCCCCCTCTGCCCTGCAGACCAGGCTCGCCCTTCGGCTGAATTTTGAAGCCGCCCGCTGGGATGATTGGAGCTTCGGACTTGCACGAGGTTAGGGTGCGTTGTTTTGTTTCACTTTTTTTGGGTTTCAAGCATTTTTTTTGTGGGGGGGATTCTCGGGAACCCTGCAGAGCGGTTCGTCTTAGGCTTTGCAGTCGTCTAGATGTATGTATGTATGTATGTATGTATGTATGTATGTATGTATGTATGTATGTATGTGTACATATGTTACCACTGCATCGAGCTGTTTGAGTCCTGCGCTATGGGAGCTCCAGTGCCTACAAACGACAAGTCGATGGCAGAGGCAGAGCGTCTCGATTTGGCCAAGCATGGATTGAGCTACCCGAAGCCCTAGCCCGAAAGTCTTGTGGGCTTGGAGACTAAACTCCCAACCCCAAACGCACAAATGCGATCCGGCACCCGCAAATGTTCGGCCAAACACAACTGTTCTAATATCCGCGCTGCGCGCGGATGCGCCCAGCAGGTGAACCCATCCCCATGCTAAGTCCAGGTATTTTAGGGTTTAGGGTTTAGGATTAAAATCTGTTCTCTGGGCTTTAGCCGCCAAGGTCTTAGGTTTCAGGGGTATCGAGTTTTGGACCAGGACCCCAAGACCAGGCCACACCCTGGGACCCTATAAACCCCAGAAGCCCGAACCCCCCCCCCCCCCCCCCCCCCAAATCCTAAACCCTAAACCCCAAACCCCAAACCCCAAACCCCAAACCCCAAACCCCAAACCCTAAACCCTAAACCCTAAACCCACCGTCCAATGTGGGGGCGGCATCCGCAGAAAATCTTGGATCCAAGACGGCTGAAGTGCTCGGGCTCCTTAGGGGTTTGAGGGGTTTAGGGTTTTAGGATTTAGGGTGCCGGGTTTCGGGTTTCGGGTTTGGGGTTTAGGGTTTAGGGTTTGGGGATTAGGGTTTAGGGTTTAGGGTTTCTACCCTGAACCAACGGGTTCCAAGCGGCTCATAGCGGTTGGTAGAGACGATAAACACTAAACCCTGTAAACCCTAAACTCGAAACCCTAAACCCAAAACCCTAAACCCTAAACCCTGAACCCTAAACCCTAAACCCTAAACCCTGAACCCTAAACCCTGAACCCTGAACCCTGAACCCTGAACCCTGAACCCTAAACCAACACCCTAAAAGCCCCACCTCATCCCCTAGGAGCTCTTGAATCCCCAACCCCGACATTCCGAAGCCATGAAACCTGGAAATGCCACCGGGCCCCCCCTTCGGGTTTAGGGTTTAGGGTTTAGGGTTTAGGGTTTAGGGTTTAGGGTTTAGGGTTTAGGGTTTAGGGTTTAGGGTTTAGGGTTTAGGGTTTAGGGTTTAGGGTTTAGGTGCCCTCAATACGGGGTCCGGGCTGAGCCGCTTGCATGCCGCCCACACGCAAGGCAAAGCCTTGCAAACACTGGGGGGCCCCAAACATACCTTCATCACCCTGGCCATCCACCCTCATTAAGTAACACAATAGGGGCCCCTTACTACCCCAGGTTCGCCAGAACACCTGCTACATGGACCCTGTTCAGGCCCAAAGTAGCTGGCACCTGTGGCCAGAATTGGCATTTTGCGCTAAAAAAGGGTGCAGTGGTGAGTGGCGGTCGGTTTTGCGGGGCGGTCGTCTGGATTGCGTGTCGCTCCCTAAGCCCGAAACCCCAAACTCGAAACCGGGCTCTGCCCGCTCTTTGCATTTAGGGTTAAGGGTATAGGGTATAGGGTTTGGGGTTTACTCTTTGGGGTTTACTCATACTTCAGTGCCGGGTTCTACACTTCCCCCCCTCCCCAAGCACAGCCATACGAGCCCAGTGGAACCTCTTTGCTCTTTTTTGGGTTCTGGCTTCCCTATGTAACCAACCCCTAAACGGTTTAGGGTCTTTAGGCCCTTGGCTTGTGTAGGTTCACGGATGTGCTTGGAGGTTCGTGGTTAGTTCTAAGTTCGTGGACTGCCAGGACGTGACATTGTGTGTGTGTGTGTGTAATTGGATGTATAATTGGATGTATTTGGCTTCTTGGCTTTCTAGGTGCAAAGAGCACGCGCGGGTCAATGCCGGAACAAAAACCACGCTTCAAGATCCCAGCACAAGCCCAAAGCGCCCACCACCCACCGCCCACCGACCAGCCACGCAGTCAGGGCGTGACGCCTCAAGTACTAAGAATCTCATCCCTCTCCCTAAGCCCTAAAACCGCCCTAAGCCCGTAAACGCAAAACAAGATGCCCTGGAGCCATGCGCCCGTGCACGCGTCCGCGCAGTCTCGCTATCGGTGGAGGCACGAACTCTTGGGCATGGGAATGAGGACAGCTCGACTAGGCTTTTTCAGAGGGTTTCGAAGGCCTTAGCAGCTTATGTGCCACCGTTCTCCTACTAGTGGGTTTTTCGGGTTCAGGCTCGGACAGGGTTGTGCTACAGTGCGGGTTCAGTAGAGGTTCCGGGTTTCCTGTGTCTGTAGGCCTGGACGTGAACCCGGCGCAGGCTGGCGCGCGCCTTGTCGCAGAAGGGATCTGCGGCCATGAGCCGACTGTGACGGCTGAAGGCGCCCAAACCCTAAAACTTTGAACCCTAAAGCCGAAAGCCGAAACCCTAAAGCCTAAAGCCTTAAACCCTTAAACCTTAAAGACGAAGAAGGGATGGGCTCCTCCAAAAGTCCCCAAGCTCTGACGCCATTCCCCAAAAGTGTGGTGTAATAGCATGTTTGGGGCAGGGAAAAGACCTACGGTCCACACTTGAGGGTTTGGTGGTTTTGGGAGACTACTTCTACATCCCTAAGCCCTAAACCCCTGGTTTAGGGGCCCGACTTCCCCCCCCCCCCCCCCCCCGCGCCTTTTCCCTCCCCCCTCTTTTAAATGCCAACGCTTGTCGTTTCGTTTTTTACTCGCCACACCCTGCTTTGTAAAGAAACAACCATGAAGTGGACTTGCGTTCAATTTTCCAAGCCGGTCATGCGAGCATTGTGTTTGCAGAAGAAATGGATGTTTACTGGGAAATTATGGGAAACATGAGGTTGTTCTTCTAGACAGTATATGTTTCTTATTAACATTTGCAAGAAAATTTAGGGGTTCTCGTTGTAAAATAAAAGAAGATAGAGGCTGTCCGATTAACATCTAGAGGAAGTAGACAAGCTCAAAGGGTGAAAGCAAAACGAGCAGATGGCTAAACAAAACCTCCAAAAAGAAAACCCTCAGGGTAGTATACAAGGGAGCACCCGAATTCTAACCTCCGAAACCCTTATATAGCCTTGAGGATGGCTTCAGCGTCGGTGGTCACGCGGGCGCTAGTGAAGCTGAGGCACGAGGCTTCGGGGTTTAGGGAGCCTCCTAAAACATAAACAAACCGTAAACCCTTGGTTAGTTTGGGGCTTGGGGTGACGTAGTGCGTTTGTGGGGTTTATAGGGCTGGCCGGATTTGGGGCCCTACTCGTACAGGGCTTGCAGTGCTTGCAGGGCTTGACTTTTAGGTCTTGGTAGGTTGGGGTCTGGCACAGAAAACAAAGTAGAAGCCGGAAAAAACCACACCTCTTAAAGTGCTTCTGGGATGTTTATGTGTCCCCTGGATCTTTTCAAGCTCTTGAATCCTCTGCAACCATGTTTAGGATGAGGATCCCGCGTCTGATTAAAGTTATGGGCAAAACAAACCAAGAGGACAGCCCTTTCTTTCCAAGGTTGCAAGGGAACGGCTTCAGGGTTTAGGGTTTAGGAGTTAGGGTTTAGGGTATAGGGTTTAGGGTGTAGGGTTTAGGGTTTAGGGCCCGGAGCCCAAACCCCAGATGACGCCCGTGCAGGACCCATCCCGATGCAGCGACCGCGGCCCGGGCCGTCTTGCGCGAAGCGAGACCTGGGTGACAAGTGGAGGTTGAGGGTTAGGGTTTAGGGTTTAGGGTTTAGGGTTTAGGGTTTAGGGTTTAGGGTTTAGGGTTTAGGGTTTAGGGTTTAGGGTTTAGGGTTTAGGGTTTAGGGCTGAGGGGTGCACATGCTGGGGCCCAGAGTAGGCCCTTATTCCCTCTAGGGTTTAGATTCCCTTCTAAGTCCCTTAAAACCAAAGCGGACACCCTCATACACTATTCCTAGGTACTCTTGAGTCTAGAGGCTTTAGGGTCGTATACTTGGGTTTAAGGAGAAAAGGGTTCAGGGTTGCGGATTAGGGAGCCAAGTGGTGTTGATTTATATCACGGTCGCTTGTTAGGTCTCTCTTAGGGTGTAATTAGCCCTCGTAGTTAAACCCTAAACCCTAAACCGTTTAAGGGTTTGGGCCAGAAAGGGCTCGCCAGTTGGATCAACTTCCCAAGACGTACCGGCCAGATGTCACAGCTAGACCCTAGACCCTAAACACCAAACACCCTGAACCCCAAGTACCCAAAGCTCGAAACCCTCCTCCAGAGGCAGACTCAAGTCAAGAGCATCATCCTTGGACTTGCAGAGAGCCCTTTCTGATTGGTCTGAGTAGGGAAAGAGGGAATGAGGTATCAAGGCCCCAAGCCACCCTCCCCCCCCCCCCCCCCCAACCCCCCCCCCCCCCCCCGGGGTCAGTGGTCACGATGTAATCACTGTACCTGCGATTGAAAAACCGCAGTGTGCCTTCAGTGACCAGATTGATGAAATGCACAGTGGTGAACCGAAACGCCACCAGTGTCCACGTCTGCTCAGCAGTGTCAGTGGACTCCTCGGTCTGTGTCTGCCACAGTCCACGGCGCCACAGTGCAGCTCGAGCACTCATCGACAGATTGAACTGTCCAGCATAGATTCCTTCCAGTGAAAATTGGCCAGTCGTCCGCAGTGTCTCAGCATCTTCACTGCGAAGACAAATCCAGCAGTGCTTTGCCACCAGTGTTTCAGAAACACTTGATGGTTGGCGATTTTCACTCTCCAGTCTCTTGAACAGTGTAGCCTCTTCCTTGGTGTATTCCGAACACCAGTCGATGAACGGAAACAAATCCACAGTTTCCTGCACAGCATCGATGATGACGTCAGTGCAGTCAACCAAGGTGTTCAGCACGGTCGGCGGCAGTCGGATTCTCTCCGACCCATCAGTCGGCTGTCCTGCGAAGAAGCAGTGCAGTCCACAGGACGAGAGCACCTCTCGGACAGTGCACTCCAAGAACCCAGTTGACTCAGTGGACCTTTTCACCAGGTTCCACACTCGATCCACTTCCTTTGCGAGCAGCATTCGCAGGTCGGCATAGCTCGTCCAGTTATCCAGATTGCCAGCATCAGTGGGGAACTCGGCGTTCATCACCCAGTACCAGTTGGCAATGTCACCATGGTACAGCGCGGGTGGCCTCTCAGTCTGGATGTGGACCAGTGGCCTTTCGACCACATTGAACGGCCAGTCTCCCATTGTTGTGTCGGGCATCTGTCGCACCAGTGACAGTCGCTGCATTGCTGCAGTTGCCTCTTGCATCAGTTGCTCATTGTGAGCACGCACTGACTCAAGCTCAGTGACGCGCATTGCTTCAATTGCATCATCCGCCTGCGCAGCCAGTGATGCTTCATTGGCCAGTTGGCGGCCAGTGCTTGCGGATCCCTGGGAGGTGTGCGACATGGCGGCAGTCGATGGAACAGTGAGAAAGCAGAGGGCAGTTAGGCAGTGACCTTTGAGTCGCTCAAAAACACAACATGCAAAGCAGTGCAGCCCAAACTTCTATGTACAGTTTTCTTTCTACACATGACACATGTAAAAGACAGTTTTCCAACTTCGAAGAAAACAGTGAAAAATCGTTTCGAATCGACGAAAACAGTGAACGTGGTTCTCTCCTCTCAGTCTCTTCTTTCTGCACAACAGTACATGCACAACTGCACAGTGACACTCAGCACAAGCAGTGCTTTGCTTGCCAGTGCTCCTTGGGAGCAGTGCTTGTTTGTCTGTTTGTACATGCACAGTGAACAAGACAGTGACACACAACGCACACAGCACAGCAGTGTTGCTTATGTTTATGCTGCAGTGTTGTAAATCCGCAGTGCCTATGGCACGAGGCGTCCAGCAAACGAAACAGTCCTGCAACCAACCCCAAACAGTGCATCAACCGCGGTGCATCATCACGAGCATCAGTACGCGGGCGCACACAAAGGGGGCACGCAAACAGTTAGAACAGGTTACTATGAACGCCTAAGCGTCCTTTTAGTGATGACAGTGTTTCAACGCTGACATATTTGGTGAGCAAATCGGCAGGGTTGTTCAGTGTTCCTACCTTCAGGACCTTGATCAGTCCAGCTTTCACCAGGTCTTGCATATAAAGGAACCTCAGTTCCACATGCTTAGTGCGCTTGCCAGCGCCGAAACGCGTCGCCATAGATTTGCCTGCAGTGGAATCAGTCTACACGTGAACATTGACCTTGCGGGTCAGTCCACTCTCCAGCAACAGCGCGCGAACGAACAGTGCCTCGCTCGTGCCTTGACCAATTGCATACAATTCAGCTTCACCACTTGACAGTGCGATTGTTGATTGCGTGCGTGCAGTGCTTTGAACATTACAACCAAGGACATTCACAGTCGAACCAGAAGTCGACTTGCGTGTCTTGTTGCATCCAGCCCAGTCACTGTCAACATACGCATTTACATCCACAGGGACAGTGGCTCCAGACAGCTGGTGCGTCGGTCTCAGCTTCAACACCGACAGTTTGGTACCAGACAAGTACCTCAACAGGTGTTTCAACTTTCCAACCGACTCAGTGGTGGGAGCAGTCACGTCGCGTGACAGTTCCTTCACCGCGTATGCAACATCAGGCCTTACAAACGCATACCATAGCAGTTTGCCAACCGCAGTGCGATACTTCTCATGGCCTTCTTTATCCAGTGGCTCAGGCATCAACTGTCTCAAGGATGACGACCCAGTCGTGGCAACAGGATTGCACTTCGACAGGTTGTACATTTCAAGCAGTTTGTCAACATACGACGGAGACATGCACACATCAATGCTATCACCGCAGTGACGCAAGCGGCGACCAAGAAACGTGTGCTCAGTCCCTTCGACCAACTCACCAGTGATCTTCACGATCAGCTCTTTCTGCAGTTCTTCAAGAAACTGCCGTTTGAGCTTGTCATCTCCAATGATCAGTAGATCGTCAACATATGCCAAGACAAACAGTGAACCACTTTCATGACAGTAAAGATTGCCATCGGACTTGCAGCGCTTGAACTTCAGTTTCTGCATCGTAGCAGCAAAATGGTCTTGCCACAGTTTAGGCGCTTGACGCAGCCCGTACATTGCCTTATTCAGTCGCCAGAGTACTTTCCTGTCAGGGTAGTACTCAGCTGGCGGCCAGACGAACACTTCGTCAGTCATTGCTGCGTGTAAAAACGCAGTTGACACATCAGCAAGCGTGATCGTCCAGTTTCGAGCAAGGGCCAAAATCAGCAACACACGCAGTGTCACCAACGACGGTGTGCTCGCGAACAGTGAATCCAGGTCCAGTTGGCGAGAGTCCTGGAAGCAGCCTTGAACTACGAGACGCATTCGCAGTTCTATGTCAGACTTCCAGCGCTTGACCCATTTCACGCCAATGGCACCCTTCACTTGCTCACTTGAGCAGTTCTCTACGGGCACTTCTGTATACACTTCGAAGTCCTTCATGGATCCCATTTCCTTATTCATGCCAGTTGCCTGTGCTTCTTCAGGAAACTCTTCAGTGGCATCCCAAATGATGGGGTTTGCCAGTTTCGCCTCGGCAACAGCTTCTTCTTCATCACAGTTCACTTCGACGGAAACAGACGACCCATCTTTGTTGCGAACCTCAGTTGCACTTGTCGCGGAAGCAACCCAGGACCAGTCATGCTGATAGGCTTCAGTTATAGCGGCAATTCTTTGCGCTTTGCCCAGTGGCTCAGCGTCAGCTTCAGGATCAGGGCGCGCCAGTTTTGACTTAGGCTCAGCGCCTCCTTCTTCAGCTGATCTCTTGGAACCAGTGGGCGAACTCAAGGGTTCGACTTCAGCTTCACGTTCTTCAGACGCAGTTTGCGGCTGTGTTTCCAACACATCATCCATTGGCTCTCTAGCCAGTCCAGGCGGTTCTTTCACTCTGCCAGTGGCTGTGAGATTTTGCGGCAAAACAAACTCAGTGATCGCTTCTTTGCCTTCACCTTTTGGATCCCAAGGCAGTGCACGGAACATTTGAACAATCTCCTTTTGCCATTGCAGTGAGGGTTGCAGTCGACGGACAGTCCTCACTTTGGTGACTCCATGTTCAGTTCCGATGATCACTTCGTCTGCTTCAGTATCTCGACCAAGCCACATGCCAGTTACCCAGGACGGGAATGCTTTGCGCGCAGCGTGCGGTCCAGTCAACTTTGCTTGCACAACTTCGCCAAAGCAACACAGTCCTGAATTGTAGTCTCTCTGCCAACGACGCCAGTAGCTTGTGTGGCCATCCGCATGTTCAAGATAGCGGTTCAGCAGAAACTGAGCATGCTTCACTGCCCACGGGAACAGTGCATGATCAGATGTCACTTCAACGCCAGTGCTTTCTTGAAGCTGCAGAAGGACAGTTCTCAGCTGTGCGTACAGCGTCCTCTGCATCTGGCCTACGCTGCCCATCGCCTGCTTGTGAGCAGTGGGCGCAGCGCGTGTGCTCATGCCACCAAGCTCTTTAACAGTCGACAGAACTAGGTCCTTCAGTGGATTTTCCTTGTCGTACTGAAGGATACCAAATGTCCTGCCAGTTTCAAACACAAACTTCTTCAGCTCAGCCATTGCGTACGCACCACCTTTCTTGGCAGTTTGCTTGTCAGGTACAACAACAGCCATGCCAAAGCCAGTTTGCACGTCTGTGGCAGTCAACACGGTTCTCAAGGGAAGCGACTTGTGCGTGCTGACATAACAGTAATCCACTTGGATCACAGGCTGTCGATCCACTTGCTTCAGTGAAGGTCCGTGACGACCTTTCGCCTGAACGCAGTGTGGGCACCAATCTCTGAACGGCAGATGTGTCAGTTCATGGACACGTCTTTCTGCCTCAGTGGGTTCCTTAGGAACTTTGAGAGATTTAGCCTTGTAGGCAGTCTCTCGAATCATTTCCTGAACCTCAAGGTTTGGTGCTCTTTCCAGTGGAACGAACAGACAGTAGCCAGTCCAGGTATGACCCAGATCAGCTCTCGGTTCTTCACACTTCGTGACACTTCCATCAGCTTCAATCATGTCAGACCACAAATCCTGAAAACCAGTGTCGATACGAGACTCATCAGTCGACGTCGTGAAGTAAGTGTAACGATCAGCCCACAGCTGGTCAGTTGACACTCTCTCCACATCTAAGGCCGTAGCGCAGTCCTCAGGATGAAAGGCGCAGCTCCTAGGCGTGTGTAACATGCGAATCCAGTACCTTGGCAGCTTCAGCCAGTAATCACTCGTTCTGGATTGACCAGTTAGAGGATCAGGACTGTTGAAGAGCCGAACCAGTTCAGCCTGCACTTCGGGCCCATGATACACTAGGCTTCGCAGTCGCGAAAGGCAGGCATCAGCCTCCGCAGTCTCGCCTCCTCGGCTCGAAACAGGCCTAGAGCGGGGCGGGCGGGGGGGAACAGTGGCAGAAGGGGTGGGCGGGCGGGAAAACGCAGTGACCGCGGGACCAGGGGCGTTCGGGGCGGTTGTCACGCCAGTGCGCGGCGGAACGCGGTCAGTTTTACCACCACCAAAGAATTTCGTTTTGCCTTCGGGCAGTCGGGGGCTCTGTTTGCCCTGATGCCGCAACTCAGGTTTGTAACGCAGTTTGAAAACACACTTACCTTTCCAGCGGACAGTGTCCTGCGCAGTCTTGTCTGCCAGTTTGAGGAAATCAGCATCCCTCACTTCGACAGGCGAAACTCCACTTCCATACAGTTTGGTGGTTACTCTTTCGCCAGTGAATCTTGACAGTGGGACAGGCAGGTCACGACACTGCTCTGGGGAGAACAGTCCCATGCGCCATCGGTGATGATGTCGCGTCAATGTCAAATTTCGCTCATCTAACTCCCAACAGTCTACTGCAGTAGCCAACAATTCATAAATCTTGGAGACATGATCAATGCTGCAGTCTTGCACATCACACACTCCAGACAGTGGCATGTCCATGTCATCTTCGCTCAAGCTCTCCTGTAACAGTTTCGGCAGATCTTTCACACATCGCTTGGCATCCTCAGCACAGTGGTATGGAACCACAGTCGGATTGAGGTAAACCAGTGTACCTTGCCGAACTATCGGGACAGGATCCTGATTCACAGTCAGCAATGCCATGAAATCTTTGCTCATGACAGTCCAGAAGCCTTGCAGCAGTAATCTGGACACACTAACCAGTGGGAACGGTATGGACTTGCACACATAGAAATTGATGCACAGTGAATGACCATTGCAGTCGAGCTGAACGATTCTTCGACCCAGTATTTCAAGGGTTTTACCCGATATACTTCGCAGTGCCGGAGCATCATCATTCAGGGGAAGCAGTGGGTAATCATCAGCAAACCACTCAGGACAACAGTGAGCAGAAGCACCAGAATCAAACAAGATCCAGCTTCTGTCAGTTACACCAGCTTGCAGATGAAACTCAGTGAGCTTGTCTACAGGTGTTGTTGTCTGCTCAACTGCAGTTTCTGATGAAACATTTCGGGGTAACTCATTCGGAAGTACAGGTTGACCAGTGGTCATTGTCGCTATCAAGAACAGTGAGGCTATGAACAAATTGCGAACAATGCCAGGTCTAGCAGTGCGAGAACTCCCAGCAGTCCTCGAAACTCGCGGAGAATCCACTTCGGTGGGTTCCTCAGTGAACACAGCGGCAGCTGTGCCAGCAGGCTCCTTAGCATCAGTGACCTCAGTCACCGTGACCGTCGACGCTGCAGTTGTCGCAGCTGTGGAACTCTGCGCTGGCTCATGCCAGTGTCCTTGCCATTCGTCTTGCCAGTAGGATCCTTCAGACCAGTCATCATACCAGCCTTCATCCCATGAGCTCCAGTCTTCATACTCACCTATTGCGCCAACATACCATTCGTACTCATTCCAGTCGGCGTTCCACTCTTCTTCGTTCCATTCTTCTTCATTCCATTCTTCAGTGACAGCTCCTACATTTTTCGCTTGAGGGCATTCTTTGCTCCAGTGGCCCTGCGAGCCACAAATAAAACATCCGTTTCCATTTCCTTTTCCTTTTCCTTTTCCTTTGCTCTTTCCTTTTCCTTTTCCTTTCCAGTTTCCTTTGTCACTTCCTTTTCCTTTCCATCCTTTCGCAGTTCCGAAACCTTTCTTTCCTTTGCCTTTGCCCTTTCCTTTTCCTTTCCAGTTTCCTTTCTTTCCTTTTCCTTTCCAGTTTCCTTTGTACCAACCTTTCAGTGCTCCGATATCCATCGGCACTGGACCATCATTCCTTGCAGTACCTGCAGTACTTGAAACTAAGTGCCTACTCTTGTAGTATGACTGAATCGTTGCCAGTAAATCTTTCCATGTGTGTATCTGCGAGACATTCAGTCTGAGATGCTGTTGCAGTGCTCCTTGCGTCTTGCGAATGAACAACGTGATCAGTAAATCATCCTGAACCAAGGCACCAGTCGCCTTCTCATGGCGATTCTTCAGTACAATGAAATCAGCCAGATCATTTTCGAAGTTGTCAGGCCTCAGTTTGAAATCCAGAATCTCGGTGAGGAGATTCAGTCCTTGGGACCGGTTAGGCAGTGAAAACTGCTGATGCAGTCTTCGCCATACCTCGAAGCCATTCTCAGTGTCTTCTTGTCTGACAGTCGCTCTCGCAGCTCCCTCGGTTAACTGTGCCAACAGATAAAGCAGTTGACGACTGAACTCGATCAGTTTCATGTCTCGACTCGCATCGGTTCTTCGATTCCAGTCGATCACATGTTCGTCTGTGACAGCTTCAGTTAGAACCTCGCATGCATCCATGAGCAGCTTTGCTTCGGGCTTGTACAGTCCTATGTACTTCTTCATTTGCCAGCTCCAATCCTCATACTTATCCAGTGACCCATCAAATGACGGTGGGGGAAACAGTTTCACTTCACCTCCAAGACCTCTTAGTTCAGGGGCAGAACCTAGTGAAGCCATTCAAACAGTTTCGGGCACCTGGTTCTCACCAGTGTGCTCCGCTACCATGAAAAGTTCAATGGAGCAGTTTGGGATACACTTTCAGGTATCACAACATTCACAGCAGTGAGCAATCATCAGTCACACTTGTTTCAGCACTTGAACCTTGAGCCAAAGCAGTGACGACAGCTTTGGTCAGATCAGGCAGTGGATACTGCCAGGGCTCTAGAGGGAACAGTGTATTCTAACACTCCTAGGACCCTTCTGGGACCCGCCTGGACACCCTGCTGCACCCTGAAAATGTCCTCAAAATTGCTGCATTTCTGGATTTTTGTTCCCCCACGAGAAGCCAAACCGTCCTGACACCCCCCAACCCGCTAAGACCTTCCTGCGACCCTTGTAGCAACCTCCCGAATTCTTCTGGGACCCCCTCCCTGCTTGAGACTCTCGCCTGCAATGTTCCGTTTTAGCATGGAAAAGCAGGGGCCGGCCGAGGCCCCTGCTACCCCCGACCGTTTTTGCTGCCCTTTCAAGCCCGAAAATGTGGGTTTTTGGTATTGCAATTGGGCACCTTCCATTTTACTCCGTGAAAGCTCCAAGAAGCCTACGAGCCACTGACAGGCTCCATGAAGCTCGGGAGACCCCGCCCTGCTCTTTCTCTGCAAAAAGCAAGAAAGCCCCCCTTGAGGGGGGTTTGGGGGGTGAACCCTAAACCCTAAATGAGAATAGTTTGGGTGGTTGGGGTGGGACTACATGCTAGCGCAAGCGAGCGGCCCGGGTGCTTTTAGCATCAGCGAGCTTCCCTTCTACACACCCTAAACCCTAAACCCTAAACCCCAAACCCTAAACCCTAAACCCTCAACCCTAAACCGGCTTTGGGGCTTTAGGATCAATTTTTGGAGCTCCCAATTCACTCAGCGCCGCCAAGCCCAGGCGAGCCAAGCGGATAGCGCCCAACACGTGCCTCGGCGCTCGTTTCAACGAAAAGGTCAGAGTCCCTCAATCCTAAACCCTAAACCCTAAACCCTGAACCTTGGCATGTCCCCCCTTAGTAGGGATTCTAGGACCCCTTATTAGAATCCCCATTCAGGACTGTTAGTATAAGGGGCACATCCCAACCCGAACCCAAAACCGCCAGGGTTTGCTTTCTCAGCCTGAGTTGATGTTGATTGTCCGAAAAGTGCTTCAGCAATGTAAACCCTAAACCCTAAACCCCTAAAACCCCAAACAGTTGACAAGCCATGCGTCCAGCCCCTGCCCAACACCTAGACTTTTGTCAACCATGAGCGCTTGTGAGAGGTTGCACTACAACGCGGCCATAAGTGCCACTTGGATGCGACTTGATTTGCTTAGTTGGCTGCATGACTTTCCAGACCCAAAGGTTTTAAGTTGTAAACGCCGTATGTAAGCCCTGAGACCTTGAATACTTTTTTTTAAACAAAAATGGCGACACCTCAACAAAGCCAGATATGGAGCCCATACAGAGCAGTTAGGTGAGTTACTGTAGGGTGTACTTGAAAGAGCATGGATAGTTGCATGTAGTAGGGTTATAAGTACCTCAGAAGGGTATAATCCAAGATACCTTATACCTTCCTAGGACCCTCCCTAAAACCACAGGGTATAGGGTCAAATGAGGCCTGTGAGCGCTCCAGCCAGTGGCAGCACGCGGTTGACCTGCTCTGGGCGACTCGCAACAAGGTTAGATTTAGGAGTACTCGAAGGTTGTTTTGGGTAGTTACAAGTAGGGTTATGAGTAAGGTAATGCGCATTATGACCTGGATGAAGGTACTTGTAACCGCACTTATAACTACCTAGGGTTTAGTGGTTTGCGGATGTCTGCAGTCCTCAACATCAAATGCTACAGTCAGGGTTGGAGATTCCAAGGGCTAGATATTCGTGGAGGTTTGTTTAGGGTTTAGGGTTGCCACCTGTGCTACTTTTCAAACCTCTGTATCTTTGTGGGTTTCCAATCTTGATTTGCTATACTCAACTTTCCGGAACAGATTGTTTTCTTCTTGACGCTTACTTATTCTGGAAAACACTTAGTCCATCTTGAATCCCTCGCTAATTCCCACATCTTGGTTCGCATCGCTTCTGGTCATATTGCGTTTCCGACGCTGGCTTTTCTGCCGTCCACACTTTGGATGTATGCTTCCCTTTCTATGTGCATCTTCATGACACCAGTTGACCCCCGCCCCCCGCCCCCCCGCCCCCCCCACCCCCCAACCCTAAACCCTAAACCCCAAACCGCAAACCCTGAAACTCGGAGCCACCTCAGGTGCTCAGTAGGCAACCTCAACATTTTGGACAAAGCCTTAGCCTCCCCCCCCCCCCCCCCCCCCCAAATCTCGAAAGTTGGCATCGACCTTTCGCAATGAAGCTTAGCCAGTAAGATTCCTATATTATAAACGGCCTGGTGACCTCACCTTAAGGACATGGCAGCATCTCTACCATTTGAAAGGGTACACGGGGTTAGTCTCGAACCCCCCACATGAGGAAAACGCCTCAAATGGTTCGTCGAACTCGGGAGCCGCAAAGCACATCACGCCCTAAAGAATTCCGAGAGGTTACCCTAAACCCTAAACCCTAAACCCTAAACCCTAAACCCTAAATTTCTTTCGATGCGAAAATTACAAGAAGCCCATTGTTCTGGGTTGTCCACGCGCTGGGCGATCGTGCCTTCGACACATAGAGGTGGGGCGTGAGGGGGTGGCTTATGCTTCGTGCAGCGAGGGTAAAGAGGAGCATCATCGATGCACGCGCTGCGCACCATGTGCCGCCACCCGAACACGGAGCGGTGGTAGCAGCACGTCTGCGCATGAGATCTTTTCCTACTGCGCGGGAAGACATCTAAGCCCTACAATGCCTAATAGGTTGGGATCTTTCCCCTTATACTTACAGTCCTTAATAGGGACTATAGTACCCCCCTACTATAATCCCTATTAAGGAGCTGTTAGAATAAGGGGGAACATCCCAAGCCTAAACCCTAAACCCTAAACCCTAAACCCTAAACCCTAAACCCTAAACCCTAAACCCTAAACCCTAAACCCTAAACCCTAAACCCTAAACCCTAAGATGGGCATTCATAAGTCCCCGGAAGCCCAGGAGATGGATCGCAGCAGGGTGCGGAAGGACACCCCGTGGGGAAATTATTGGAGGCAGAGAGCCCCTTTAGGGTTTCAGGTTTCAGGTTTAGGGTTTAGGGTTTAGGGTTTAGGGTTTAGGGCTACAGCTTTGAGGATCTGTGGGCTTTTTGGGGTTTAGGGCTTGAATTTCAGGGGTGTAGTGGGATGGGTCCGTAAGCTTGAGCAGTTTGAGTGCCGGGGTAAAGGTGTTCCATCAACCCCCTAAGCCTTTCAAGCCGAGAATCGCAGGAGAGTGGCAGAGCTTGGAGCTGTGGTTTGTTTGGTGCTAGGGCGTAGTTTGGGTGCACGGTTGGTTTGCCTTGGCGCGCTTGAACTTGTTTAAGGGCAGTGGCGTGTTTCAGGCACGCCGTTTTTCTTTGTTTTTATTGTTTTTTGTTTTTTTTTTTTTTTTTTTTGGGGGGGGGGGGGGGGGTTTGGGTTTGGGAGTCTAGAGAGCCCCAGCGAACGGCAGCATGTAGCCCTCCATGGAAGCATGTAAACCCCAAAATAAGGCTTTTGCTGCATTCAGCACAGCGACGCTGCGTCATATCTGGGTAACTGAAGGGTTGTACGATTTTGGGGTTTTAGGGTTTTTAGGGTTTTGGGGTTTAGGGTTTTGGGGTTTTGGGGTTTTGGGTGTTGGGGTTTTGGAGTTTTGGGGTTTTGGGATTTTTGGGTTTTAGGGTTTCAGGGTTTCTCAACCCTAGACCCGAAGCCCTAAACCACTGCGAGGACGTCATCTCCTTCAACACCACCATGGCTGCCTCCGCACGTGGTCAGCAGTGGCAGCTGTCGTTGAAGATCCTCGACGACCTGCCGCAGCATCTCGCCTGCAGCAGATGGATGCCTACTCAATCCACAGCTTTCCTGACTGGTTCTTTGTATAAGGATGAGGGAATCAGGTACCCTATATAACAAATGGAATGTATAGGGCCCTAATTCCCTCATTCCCTACAGTTTCGCTACTAAGAACCAGGGGGGTTTCCCTTCAACGCGCAGGCCTTGAAACAGAGACCGCGTCACTGCACAACACAGCAACGACCAGAGCATTTGCAATTTGGTGTTTGTGAGAGGAGTACTAGTATTACTGTTTTCACTTTTACTCGGCTTATTCCTTCTGTTGTTACCGATCCATACTATGGCAATTTCGATCCGTATTTATGGAAATTCATTTCATCAACAGCAACGAGGTAGACCCGAAACCGTACCCATAGAGCAACCTTCGAACATGGGTATACGCACCAACAATGAAGGCGATGTCTTATACCTGACGGGAAAACCCTAAACCGTAAACCCCAAACCCTAAACCCCAAAACCCCAAGCACTGAACCCTAAACCCTAAACCCCAAACCCCAAGCCCTAACCCCTAAACCCTAAACCCTAAACCCTAAACCCTAAACCCTAAACCCTAAACCCTAAACCCTAAACCCTAAACCCTAAACCCTAAACCTAAACCCTATAGTAAGTTACTCCAAACAAACTCGAACCGAGGCACAACCTGGAGCCCGACTTCGTCACTTTCAGCTCCGCCATCCGCGCCTGCGACCTAGGCGGAGGGTTTAGGGTTTAGGGTTTAGGGTTTAGGGTTGAGGGTTTAGGGTTTAGGGTTTAGGGTTTAGGGCTTTCCATTGTAAAGTTAGAGCCCTCTAAACCCTGAAGCCTAAAAAATCTTAGGCTCGAAGCCCCAAAAACCCACAACTCCATCCATGGGGCCCGATCCGCGCGGCTTCCTGCGGATTGATTCGGATTTCTTATTGCAGAAGTTCGGAAGGACCTGGAACCCCTGTACCCGCAATAGTGCCAAAGAAGCTGGTGTATGTGTACGCAGTGTGTCTAGTTCTGTTGCCATCTCGTGGCCCTCCTGTATCTTGAGCCGGTTTTGCGGGTTCAAGAAGAAAGTAGACAGCGCATGTCCGTGCATGCAGCTCTTGCCCCTTCATTCGAGGTTAAGGGTTTAGGGTTTAGGGTTTGGGGTTTAGGGTTTAGGGTTTAGGGTTTAGGGTTTAGGGTTTGGGGCAACTCGTGAAAGCAGGTGGCAACTGGACGCTGGCGTTAGCTTTGCTGCAGCTCATGCAAGAGGCGAGGCCCAGCTTTAGAGTGGTACATGTTGGGATGTTCCCCCTTATACTAACAGCTCCTTCATCGGGATTCTAGCACCCCCCCCCCCCCCCCCCATTGTAGTCCCTATTAAGGGCTAGAGTACCCAGTATCATAATCTCTTACAAGGACCGTTGTACCCCGTTTATGATCCCCATGAAGGGCCTTAAGAGGGAGTATGGTATAGTCCTATTAGCAATCCCTATACAGGATCAGACCCGAAACCCTCAACCCTAAGCCCTAACCTCTGACCCTCACCCTGAATCCTAAGCCATCAAACGGCCATCATCTTCCAGAAAGTCCATCCGCTAGCCTGGTACCCCTCCCGAAGCACCCGCAAGAGCCTGCTGGCAACCACGCGGGCGCACCACAAAGCACTCCCTACATGCACCATGCTCATCACAGTGCTGGTAACAACGGTTTTTGTCATAGTAAACAGAATACTTGCAATCACAATTGTAGAATTTTGGAGCAATACGAGCAATAATAGTAAGTATAAAGAATGGTAGCAATAGTCGCAATATTCAGAGTAAGAACAGTAATGATATTCATCACAGAAATATACCCGTATAATAACGATAATGGGAATAAGAATAGTACTAATCGTAACAAAGGTGGCAATTGCAAAATTAGTAAAGAAAGGAATCGTGTTAACGATAGTAAGGATAGCAATGATAGTAGCAAATGGTAGTGATAGTAATGATTGGGCGATTAGCAATAGTCGTATTGGAAGCAATAGCAGTCGTTACCGTATGAAGAGTAGTACCACGGGTTGACTTGAAAATATTTGTTACCTTTTAGTACCCCCTAATCCCTGTATAGTCATAAGGCCGGTAAGAATTTCATTTTTTCTCCCCCCCCCCCAAACCTACGCTAGAAACTAGTAATATAATAGCATGCACAGGCATCGACTGCCAACGAGATCGCCTTCAGCACAGCCATCAACGCGCAGCCTGGCCGTTGGCAACCTTTTTATGAACCCACATGCGCCGTTTAATCCCTGAAGCCCGGCACTCGAGGCATAAAGACCCAGGGCCTA